TGTGTTTTTTATTCACCTCCCCTCTCCTCATGTAATCTTGTTTCTCTGAGTTTTCCTATAGTCCCCTGTCTTCCTGACCTATCTACCCCCTATAATGTGATGCTTGTATATGTATGGTCTGGTTGATGGCCTGCTTTTCGCTGGTACTTGTGACTAGTGACATGGTGAATTGCAACAGCAATAAAGGGAATTAATCAATCAATCAATCAATATATTGATAGTGTTTATAATGGCAATTCTATTAGGAATGGAACCTTCTTTACTCATGTATTTCATGCAAATTTCATGATAACTAATTCTTGCCTCTTTTCAGTTGTCAGCTGTGGGATTGTTCTGACCCGTTACATAATGAAACCTGTAGAAGACCAGCGTCCTATGATAAATTATTTATTTAAGTGTAAGTATATCTTCAAGTTTCAATCAACTGTTTCTTTATTTTACAGTGTAGACCAGTGTTATTTCACAGGAATACTGGATTGTAATGAGATCTAGCAGTGTCTCTGTCATTTAGAGTGTACTGAATTATAGACACAGCCACATGAACTTTTCATAAAATCCATACTCGTCCGACCACTTGTCCAGCAAGGGGACTGGGGCCGATCCCAGAAAGTAAAGGCATAAGACAGGGATTTTCATAACATAAATTGTTTAACATAGATGTTTGTTCTATTGGTTTTCCTTTAGAAGTTATTTTGGTGAATACTAAGTTACCTACATAAAAGACACAAAAGAAACTAAACAGAATAAGAAGTAAAACACTTCAAATACAATTGTTTTATTAACGTTTCAGTTATCTTAAAAGCTTAGCAAATTGTTTCTTTATCCAGAACAAATTACAGTTAACCTGTTGAATCACTGGGTAGTTTTTACTGAGGCGATTCAGTAATCTATAATAAAACACCTTTCACTGGACCCTGAACCTTCTTTAGGGGTACTGTGTTATGTGTTATGATGTTATCTATACTAATGAAAAAATGATGGTGTCTAATTTGTTGGATTTTTTGCCCATACAGGTATTCCTTCATTTTCATATTTTATGATTCTTACTGTTTATAACCAGCTTATTACCTTGGTGCACAATGTGTTTATACCAGGTGAGCTTTCCCGAAGTTAAATTGAGGTTTTGTGAAACTCTTAGTAGGTTCATTTCTCTACATTCTCATTTTTCTGCAAAACTCAGATCTTTTCTTCTTTATGTAATGTTCAACAAAACCTCCCCCACACAATTATACAAAAAGTGCAAAAAGCTGCTTATTCAAAGTTTTCTTTGTCATTAAAGTGAAGCAGAACATATCTAATCTGACCTTTATACAACAGTGACATTACCCTTTAAATAAGGGAATGGATAAATCATCATGCAGAAAGGTGCAGCTGATCCCTGATTGGTCCAGACTTGTCACATGATGTAAGTGTGGTTGCAGCATAGCAGGGGGATGGATAAAAGCACCTCTGCATGCATGATGGAGAAGAATGTTTGCCAAGGTTTACTTTATCCTTACTACAGTTGACCCTTCCATATCATGGAGGTTATGGGCACAGGCCCCCTGGGATTTGGTCCCCATGGTGCATGGCACGTAACCTCACCTTTAAAAGGCATCGGCACATGCAGTTCAGCATGACGCCTTGTAAAGTCCTTTAATATGTACCCATTTAAGTCCTACAGACATCTATCATGCATAGTAATGTTAAGTAAGGGATAATGTACAGGCAGCCGGTAGTTATCGCAGAAATAAGCCCCGACAGTGTGATCAGGACCCGACGCGAAGCGCTTATTACACGGCTACTTGCCACATAAGGAAAAAAACTGGACATGAATATGAATTTGAAACATTTTATTGGCATATTTGTTTTTAATTTACATTTTTAAACGGTAATCTTTGTTGGCGCGGAGGGATTTTAAACATACAAGTAGTACCGGCTATGCGTTATTACTTTGGAGCGGTTATTATTTGAAAACGAACGAACCTGCAAATGTCTCAACTGACCAATCAGAATCAAGCATTCCAGAGAGCCGTGTAATAAGCAATAAACAACACGCACCAAAGAATGCTGCAACCTCCTGAGGGATGTAATGTTCCACCTGACTTATCTTAATATCTGAAATGCATTGTCCAAATGTCCTTTCCATTACAGTATGTGCTTAATTCTGATAATGAACTCGAAAGATTTTTTTAATCATATGGTTTTTCCTTGACTTAATATATATATTTTTTCTTTTGGTGTTTGATTTTTCTTTCGGAGTATGATTACACAAAAGGACTAGGGGTCTCATTTATAACCATTGCGTACGCACGAAACAGGACCTAAAAGATGTGTACGCCTCTTTCTACATAAACGTTGCGATTGATATAAACAAACTTGATGGCAGAATGTGCTGAGAGCCCAAGCCATGCGTCGAGGTGAGCCCAACTACATCTAGTCGGAATGCCACCAGAGAGGTGACATTCCATGTCCCTAGAGTTAGCTTCTGCAGCCGAGGATCGGACCACCAAGGTCCCCACCTTCGGCCACTGCCCAACTCACACTGCACCCGACCCCTATGGCCCCTCCTACAGGTGGTGAGCCCATTGGAGGGGGGACCCACGTGCCTTGTTCAGGCTGTGCCCAACCAGGCCCCATGGGTGTAGGCCTGGCCACCAGGTGCTCGCCATTGAGCCCCACCCCCAGGCCTGGCTCCAGGGGGGGGGCCCGGTGACCCGTGTCCGAGCAAGGGAAATCATGGATCCAATATTTTGTTCATCATTAGGGGTCTTGTGAGCCGCACTTCGTCTAGTTCCTCACCCAGGACCTGTTTGCCTTGGGTGACCCTACCAGGGGCATAAAGCCCTGGGCAACTTAGCTCCTGGGATCATTGGAACATGCAAACCCCTCCACCACGATAAGGTGTCGGAATTGTATTCTATGTCTGGGATATCACAACCATCACTAAGCTCAATAATACCTGTCATTTTGGATGGGATTATTAAAATGACTAGTAGATACATTAAGTTCCCTTACACTGTGGGAGAACAGGCCAACATCGACAGGCAATTTGCAGCAATGTCCGGCTTCCCAAATATAATCAGCACAATTGACTGCACTCACGTTGCAATGAGGGCTCCATATGAAAACGAATTTATTTACGTGAATAGAAAACGTGCATTCTATAAATGTGCAAGTTATTTGTGACGCTGATATGGTCCTGACAAACGTGGTTGCACGATGGCCTGGTTCAACACATGACTCGTTTATCCTGGAACACAGCAGTGTAGGGAGCAGAGTGCAGGCTGGCGCTGCGCGCGATGGCTAGCTTCTTGGTAAGGTGATAAAAACATTGTGTAAACATTGTGCAGAACTATTCATTGTTCATGTATTGAATCGTTCTGTTATGAAATGCAGATGACAGCGGCTACCCTCTCAAGCCCTGGCTCCTCATCCCCCTTTCAAACCCCCAGAGCACACAGGAAAATCGCTATAATGATGCTCACGCTCATGCGCGCACCGTTGTGGAGCGTGCGATCGGCCTCCTGAAATGCAGATGCCGATGTTTAGACGCATCAGGTGGCCGGTTTTTATACCTATGGAAGCCCGTTTCCGTCCCCGTGGAAAAAAATATGTATAATTTAAGCTGAAATTTCGAAATAATATCTCAAAACAACGAGATAACTAAGTTGAAATTTATATTATATATATATATATTTTTTTTTTTTTCCACGGTGGCTTCCATACCCACAACCACATCCATCCCGGTTTCAGAAAAAATTCTCTTCTTACTTTTCCCCTCGGTTGCCATGATGCCATGAGTTTTTCAGGTTTACATCGGATTCTTAAATATGCATGAGGTGATTTGCATTGACCATGTATGGTTGAACGGGGGCGTGTAAAGGGTGGAATATGCAGCAAATCCATGTGCGTGCAATCCCAGGTTGTGTGCGATTTATAAAGCTTATATTGCTTGGAGGTGTGCGTGCGCACATTTTTATAAATCTGACTTTTTCTTTGCATACGTCATTTTAGTTTTTTGAGCGCACGTGCACTTTTAGTATGAGTTCTACGCAAAGTTTTATAAATGCGACCCCAGATGTACTCTATGATAAAACATATGTAAATAATATTAAATAAAATAAAAACCATTAGTGCACCTCGGGGGTGTAACCTGTCTCCATAAGTGTTGTGCACCCGCACATTTCTGAAACGCGCCGCTTAAATACAGTTTAGCAATGTGTCACTGACTTTAGACATAGTTTTTGTTAGTCAAAAATGCAAGGTCATTTCGCTGCCCTAAATAGCAACGCACCGCCAATGCACCCGGCCACGCCTCATTTAAAAAACATCACTCCTACGAGTGCAAAGCAGGCGCAAAGTCATTTGCTATTTTGACAATATGCACACATGGCTTGAAAATGAGCAATGAGCTGGTACGAAACTAGCAAAACCACTTTGTAACATAATGTACCCCAGTGGAAAATAAAGCCCAAAGTCATTAACCGTGATTCAATTGAATGTTAATAGATATATATATAAATGAATGCGTGAATGTGAAATTAATGTGGGGAATTTGTAAACCTCTAATGCGTACTTATGTTTGCTTTCTCCTACCAGGATATTTCCTTGCGATTGTAATAGCTCCTTCATTAATGTTTGCATCTTTTGTCGCTGAAGTATACATGCATTCATGGAGACATTTCTGTAAGTATTTTGTTATGAACTATAATCAACCCTGTTTTCATTGACCTATAACTGACACATCAGGATTCTTCACCATAAAGTAAAAAAAATAAACACTGAAATTTCCAAGCCCAACTGCATTATGCGGGGATCAATGCATTACAAACCATGTATTATATGTTTTTAAATGCACAACTGGCAAAGAACCACTTTTAACTGTTCTGTGCAGCTTGTAGTGTGATAACCCACTTACACCATGCTCACCACACATTTGCCTTTCACATTTGTACTTGAAGTCATTAATTTCACGTTTACAAATTGAAAACATATTTATTAGTTGAACTACCATTTAGGCTTGGGCGGTATTTCATTTCGGCCAAAATGTATCTTGGGAACCTATTTGGCTAAAAGTCCAACGTTACAGGTTTTGTAGATACACTATATGGAAAATGGTTTTGAGAAACCTATCCATTACACCTAGAGGAACTTTTGTTGACATCCTAGTCTGAATCCACTAGCATCAATATGGATTTGGTCCCCCCTTGCAGCTGTAACAGCTGTTGCTCTTCTGGGAAGGCTTTCCACAAGATTTTGGAGTGTGTTTCTGGGAATATTTGCCCATTCATCCAGAAGAGCATTTGTGAGGTCAGGGACTGATGTTGATTGTGAGGGCCTGGCTTGTAGTCTCTGTTTTAGTTGATCCCAAAGGTGTTTTATGGGGTTGAGGTCAGGGCTCAGTGTGGGCCAGTCAAGTTATTCCAAACTAAACGCACCCACCATGCCTTCATGGACCTTGTTTTGTGCACTGGGGCGCAATCATGCTGGAACAGAAAAGGGCCTTCCTCAAACTGTTCTTCCCAAGTTGGAAGCATAGAATTGTCCAACATGTATTGGTATGCCAAAGTGTTCCTTTCACAGGAACTAAGGGGCCTACAACAGCCCCTGAAAACCACCCCATAGCATTATCTCTCCTCCACCAAACTTTACAGTTGGCACAATGCAGTCAGGCAGGTAATGTTCTCCTGGCAACCCAAACTCATCCATCAGTCTGCCAGACAGAGAAGCATGATTTGTCACTTCACAGAATATGTTTCCAATGTTTCACAGTCAAATAGCAGCGTGCTTTACATGACTCTATCCAATGCTTGGAATTTTGCTTGGTGATGTGATGCTTTCACACAGCTGCTCAGCCAGGGAAGCCCATTCCATGAAACTCCTGTTGCATTGTCTTTTTGTTGGGGTTCGTGCCAGAGATAGTTTGGAACAACAAAAAAAGTGCTGGAGACTTTTACGCACTATGTGCCTCAGCACTCAGTGACCCCTGCACTGTTACTTTATGTGGTCTAGTACTTTGTGGCCACTTACAGTTCACTGTGGAATATCTAGCAGGGAAGAAATTTCACTAACATACTTATTGCAAAGGTGGCATCCTATGACAGTACCATGCTTGAATTCACTGAGCTCTTCAGAATGACCCATTCTTTCACAAATGTTTGTAAACCTGACTGCATGGCTAGGTGTTGGATTTTATACACATGTGGCAATGGGTGTGAATTTAAGAGGTCCAAATACTTTTATCATATAGTGTATTAACAGCCATCCAAAATATTAGCATTTGTCCTTACTCAGAGCTGCTTTCATAATTGATTGGAATTTTGTGTAGCGATGTTACCATTTTTGACATCATTCATCTTATGCTTCTGTACAAGCTTACAATCTAAGGGGATGGTGTGTGACTGTGCAATGGTGCTTGTGATTGAAAGGTTGCCAGTTCAAGCCCAGTATCAGCAGAGTAGTCACATGCCTGTGGACCCTTGAGCCTGATCACAAGCATAGAGGATTAGCCCACTGAGCCTTATGCCCCCTGTGATAGAGAGAGGCAAAAAATAATTTCCTCATAGGAATCACTATCATTAAAAATAATCACTTTACATTTTTGCTATCAGAATTCTGCTTTAAGAGTCTCTCCCTCTCATATGTATACAGTGTATATATATATTATATATATATATATATATATATATACACACATACATACACACACACACACACACACACACACACACATATATATATGCATACATACATATGCACAAGCAGACCACCAGGAACACTGTCTAAATATTGTCGTACCCGTATCTGCATCTAAGAGGAGGGAGTGGAAGCCACACACCAACTTTTACACATACTCTCACACACACACACCCATACAAGGAGAAAAAAGGGGTGAAATAGGGGATGAGAGCCCTAGGCTCTCCTGTGTGTGTGTGTGTGCGTTCTAAGTGTATGTGTGTTGATATGAAAGTGTGTGTATGTGTGTGCA